CCCCCCACAAAAACATCTTTCCAACCCCCTCATCCTACTCCTTGCACTTTTGCTTGACATTCAAATTTCTTATTACACTTGTGCAATGTTTAAATTAATAGAAGTTTTGTGAAAGGGCAAGATTTCTGTGAATGTCGAAATTGTTTTTGTTTTGTTTGAGTAAGCGTTTTATGGCACTTGCAACACACTTTAGTCATATACGTGCCGAAGCTTTGAGGTGTCACATGAGAGTAACAAACACACAACACACAAAAAAAGAAGGAGGAGGAGAGATAAAGACAATAGATGTTTGGTAGAAAAGAAGGATGCGCAACCACGTCAGAGCACCCACAAACATCTGATGTTCAACTTGTGAACATTTTCTGTTGAATGTGAATTGACATAGGTAAGAACCTGGTAATATTGTTGGAGAAATTTTAATATCGTACAGGTAAGCCTAATACAAGGCATAGCAATGTTCAACAACTATCTTTCAGTTTATCTTTCTGAACAGTGAGCCTTGAATCAAACTAATTAAAGGACACCCCTCCCCCTTCCCACACACACATACAAATTTTAAAAAATGCAAAAGAAGATTTTAAGTACAAAAATAGTCCCCCTTCTTTCTGCTTTGAAACAGATTTGCGTAAGATGCAGAAGCAACGTGAGTGAGTGGGGAAAAGGGGAAACGGTTAAGGGTCAACATGTGCGACTCCGCTTCCTTCTTTAACTCATTAAGGACGAAGCGGACACATAAAAAAAGTCCGACAGCAGCCGATCAAAAGCAAAGTTGCGAGATATTTCGAACCATCCTACAGACTAGAAACAAATTTTTGCATATTTATTATTATAGTATACATTATTGTTATCTGTCTCTTTAAGTACCAGACAAAGGAAAGAGAATTGAAAACTACGAATGAATAACGAAATTATGCTTGTTTTAGTATTCTGAAACATCGGGTCTTCAAGCGTTCGAATGAACAGAATGCGAGTCTGCAATGAGTTAAAACAAGTGAAACGCGTCTTTCTCCACTTGCGCTATGATGACTCATATATGTGGATCCGCAGAGAGAAGAAACAGGGACGACATGCATAACAGGCTAAATACATTCAGAAGGGAATGTACGGTCCAAGTCTGCGTGCACGCGCGCGCGCGCGTGTGTGTGTTTGTGCGTGTGTTTGTGCGTGTGTGTGTGTGTGTGTGTGTGTGTGTGTGTGAGTAAAAAGGAATGGAGGGCTAGGTCAAACCGTGGTTCTGGTAAACTGCCTTTCCTTTTTTTTTCATCCATATGTTTTTGAAATTGTTTATATGTATAATATATGGGAACAAAACTTAAGTTCGTTTTTTATTCATTTGTAAAACATTGACAAATGTATCTTGAAAGTGGAGCAAGAGACTTTATGTGGGTGTAGCTTTTCTGGATGGGTTAATAGTAAAGCTAACTTAAATTGAAACAATATTTGATTTATGATGATTAGCACATGTTCTCAAGGTACACAAAAGGAATTCTCTGTGCTTCTGATTGTGTACTGTTGTATGTGGGTTTTTTTCTTCTTTTTTAAAGTAAAATGCATTCTTGTACCACTGTGTGCAGTGCAATGGTTTGGTTCTTCACCATTGCTCGCAGTGGATGTGAGTTTGATTCCCAAATGGGGAAGTAATTATATCCGATATCTTCATCAGTCTGCTGTGCTTTGTAAACCACTTAACACAGGCTTGTTGTTAAAGACAGGACGGAAGCAGCCAACCTCCTAAATAGTGAAGAGTGGGATGCAAAATATTTTAAAATTACAATTGAACCTGCTCTAATGGCCTCCTGTCCACGATAACTACCGGTACAAATGACCAATTCCCATTTCCCTCTCTAGTGTATTTTTCTGTATTATATTAAAATGACACTGTCCAAGATGTCTAACTGACTTGTCTAGAACAACCACTTTTCTCCTTGACAATATGTGAGCATCTTAAACAATTTTGACTGTATTCGTGTTGTCTGTTGATCAAAATTGTGTTGATAGTGCCATAAAACACCTAATCAATGTTAATTTTCTTTCAATGTTTCCTTTCCCTGTTGCAGGGATTGCCTGAGAGTTTCGGTCTTCTGTTCCACCTGAAGGAGATTCATCTCGAGCACAACAAACTCCACTCGCTGCCGGAAAGTTTTGTGCACCTGGTCAAACTGGAGAAGGTAAGTAACTTATTTTAGCTGTCTCTCGCAACTAAGGGAACTGGTGTCTGTGGCGTAGTGGTCAGGCTTTTTGCCATTGCATGCAGAAGTCGTGAGTTCAATTCCTACAAAAGGAAGTTGTTTTATGAAGTATTTCCTTCTGTCTACTGATGTGCTATCTCACTTGACTTGGAGCTTCACAAATCTTTTTTAGTTTCAGCAAGGTTTTGCGGCGCTCGCAACTGCATAAGGTCATATGAGCTCCAAGGGGTGGATGGCAACAGAGAAGTCCAAACTTGTAATCAGGCTTACTCTGCTCACCTCTCTAGCCTCAACAGCACGAAGTCTGCTTCGATTGTCAAGGCATCCCAGAAATAGCAGTTCGTAAGGGAGTGACAAACACACAAAAGAAGTAGAGGAAAAATGACGAGGGTAAGGATGAGGGAAAAAAAAGCAGCAGTTCCCCCTATGTTGTTACGGCAGAGTATGAGCATGACATTTACAATTCTACTTTGCATAAGAACATGTTAATATTCCCCTTTTGGGAATGGCCTAAAGACAACTTGTGTCAGTATCATGAAATGATATGTATTTTATTATAACCATTTTATTATTTCTGTTTCCATCTTCTTTGTCTTTGTCCTCCCTAGATCGACCTGTCGTACAATGAGTTGCGATCTCTGCCAGAAGACATCGGGGACATGGAGCGTCTGGGTCGACTCAGCGTGGTGCACAACAAACTGAAACAACTACCTCTGTCTCTGGGCTGTCCCAGCTGTCCTGTACATCTGCTCCTGGCTCAACAGGTGAGCCGTTTCATTAGAATTTGTAGACAGTAATATATCGATGATGTTATGCTTGAATTATGGAATATGATGACAATAGTTATAATGAGAATTTTTACAGCGCCTAATTCTCAGAAGGTGCTAAGCTCTGTACAATGCAAAATTGTCACGAAAGTAACAAAACCCCCCAAGAAAATGCACATTATGAGACTATTTAACTTGACACGCATGCACACACACACACGCATGCGCGTGCGCACACACACACATACACACACACACACATGTACACACAACTCTCAGACCCACACACATTTGCACGTACAAAAACTACTGGCAGAAGATAGTCAGATAGGGTTGAACAAATGTGTCTTAACACTTTTCTCAAATTGGAAGAAAAATTATGACTCTTTTTGTCATAACCTCATTGCTGAGGTCAATCAGCTTGTGCTATGTATAGTATAAAAGTGCCAGGGGTAAACTGTCATGTCTTCTCATGTTAATTAAATCTGAAGTTTTTTGTTTTTGTGGGTGTGGAAAATTTTTTCAAGAAACCAGTTACACGTTGTGAATGGTTTGGTGGGCACTCTGGTGTGGGTTGCTTTTCCTTTTTTATCAAACATATGTAGTCCTTACCTCTCCTCCTTTTCTTTGTCTCTAGCAACACCTGTAATCTTCAGCACCTATATGTATGACCAATTAAATTTGTGTTGCCAGTGCTGTAAAATCTTACAAAAACTAAAAACAAAACATAACAAGGTAAGAGCTTAACACCGATTGATGTTTAATGCTGTATGAGAGGTTAAAAACCTATTTGCTTTCCTAATTTTCTGTCCTTTACTCGACAGAACCGCTTGGAGAGCCCCCCACAGGCAGTCTGTGATGAGGGGTCATCATCCACACTCGAGTACCTCCGCAAACAATACACCACCAACTACAACGAGATCCCGTCTCGGCCCGCCACGCCTCTCAACCAGTTCCCCCGCTGCTGCAACAACAAGCTGGAACCTTCCGTGGCCAACCCGCACTCGGCACAAATCCAGTACATCCAGGAGCAGACGGACACGGCACACGTCACCAGCAGGATCAAAGTTCCGTTATTGCCCCCCTTAGATGCAACGACACTCACTCCTTTCCAGCTGAGGGACAGGGTTATAGGTAAGTCAAGGGGCTCTTTTTTTCAATTTTTAAATTCTATTCATCCCCCCTTCCCCCGCCTTAAAAGAAATAAGTCTGGTGCTCTTTTCTTCTAAGTTTTCATAACATTGGTATGGCCTGTGTTTGTGGTGTACCAGGTAATGGTTAGGCTCTTCGCTGTTGCACAAAGATGATGTGAGTTTGATTGATTCCCAAGTGGGGAAAGTTTTTATTGGGTATCTCTGTCCGCTGAGATGTTGCGTCCCACTGAGACTGACTGGTTTGAGATAGCCCACCTTGTAAATGATCTGAGTTGTGTTGATAGGGATGTGAAACATTTACAGTTACAATTACTTCATACTTCAGTAAAGTAGAAATGGTGTCTTCTTGCTGACAAAAAGTTAATTATTTATGTTAATGGTAGTCCAAGTGGCATGAAATGTTTTGGAATATTTGATAAGCTTTCCCCTGACCACAAAGGGATTTGTGCTCTAATTACTTGAGTTATACTCTCTCATCTTGTGGGTTGATATGGGAGACTACTTTGAATTTTTATCTCTTATCTCATAGGTTTGGCGGTTGATGGTCTTTAGAGGGGATACCTTTTTTCTGGGAATTTTTTAAGTTTTGGTCGTATATTGCTGTATGTATTCTCTAACACACTTTAGACTCATAGCTGTAAAGGATGACACCAAAGACTTTGTGTTGTGAATTCATATTGAATTCAATGTACAAATATGGATTAATATTGTCAAAATGTTGGTCTAGAATGTCTTTAAAGATGTTATCATTTTGTATGTTCTTCTTCTCGATCGCATCACACTTGAAGTCCGTTATCTGTCATATATTGGGCCGTCCTGCTCAGTTCATCGATCGGCCCGAATAGCTTCTCTTGTATTTTGCATGATGTTTTATGGGACAAATTTTTTGACATTCTTCAGGTCTGATCTACGGAGCGGCCATCGGGGATGCGATAGGTGTGGCATGTCGGTGGATGTCAGATGACGAGTGCTCCTTCCACTACAACTTTGACGATGACTTAATCTACTCCAGAATTGTCCAAGACGAGCACAGGGTGCTCTGGAGACAGGGGGACTGGACCTCCAACTTTGACCAATTTGTGAGCACTGCCATAGCTTTAGGTGACTTGAAATAAGGAATAAACTTGTGAAGCTGCAAGAATTCCTGTATTTTGAGAATTGCCAAAATCACAGAAAAAGTTTGTAGAAAAACCTCAACACAAGAAAATAAACGCACTATAATTATAATCGCCTATAAAATGTCGCATAATGGAGGGGGGGGGGGGGATATACTTTGACTTTCAAATTGGCTAATTTTTTGTGTGTGTCGCTCTTATAATATAGCGTGAATTTCTGACATGCTGAAGGGGGCTCGACATGTATTAAATCAAATACTAGTTGGGCATCAAATATTGTGTCTTACCCTTAAGAACTGTTGTTTGTTACATTGGAATTGATATAATCTAGGAAAATTATATTCTGTATAACTTTTCTTTTATTTGGCCTAATCCTGGCTGCATGTCACATTTAAAATACAGGGGGTATACTTTTGGATCTTATTTTTGGGGTAAATTGCTTGCCTTATAGGTGAGTATACATGGTATATATGCTCATAATTTTCATGTGTTGAGGCTTTTTCACAACCTTTATTTTAAAAAGTGGGTTGTTGGCGGGTGCTCTGGTGTGGTTTGCATCTAATCTTTGGCACTTGTTTGACCTTATTGTGTTGCAAGTGCCATAAAACACTTACTAAAACTTATTTTAAAAAGGGAGCACAAGTAAAATTAGTGTTACAGCATTTTGCAATGTTGGCTTTACTTTTTACTGAGAACTCCAGGTACTCCATTAAGCAAGGAAAGTGTTAAAATGTTAAAACGAAGAAAACAGAATAAAAATTGATAGATCTAGTAGGATAGTCATTTAAAATTGTCTTTGTTCCAGGTGCTCGTTTTGGACTCTCTGGTCAACTGGGGGGGCGTGGTGGATGAGCTGGAGTTTGGACGTCGGCTCTTGGCCTGGGTGGAGCGGGGCTTTCCAGACTTGGGCGACTCTGCTGGGGTTGTGACCAGTGATACCATTGCGCAGGTAGAGAAATGACTAGTGATGTAGGTATTTTATGACAAAATGTTTTCTTCACAGAAGTGAAGAATTATGTTTCTGTTCGTGATCTAAAGAGGAACAAAAATCGGATGTTCGAATGTTAGAGATGATCCACTTTGTTACAAAACTTTTCAATAGATCTTGTTGCTTCATTCAAAATAGAGTAAGGTTCCAAGTCTGAACATGATGTGCAAGAATTTATGTTGATTGAGTCCAGTAGCGAGATTGCTATTAAATTGTTCAACTCTGTGGATTTTCTAGAATTTCCCAGTTTAAACTTAACCTTAATTTAGTTGAACAATCCGTGTTGACAGATGTTAAGACGTGGCTTTTGTTTATGAAAATGCAATTGGTGTGACATTCATTCAAATCCTGTGTGTATTGTATTCGTGTGGTATTGTGCATTGTTGCATTGACCAATTATTGTATATATTTTATCTATGGGTATTTGTATGCAAATTTTTCCTCAAAGTAGACTTTAATTTTTTTTAAAAATTGTTTCCCCCAGGCAGCACACCATGAAAGTTTTACCAGAGATCCACATTGGACATCAAGTGCCATCTTAGAGAAAAATAAAGTAACTCAAAACGGGGACCTGTCTAATCACATATCAAGTCATCAACCTGTATCACCACACATAGAGGCTGAGGCCACAGGGAGAGATGGTGTTGCTATATCGCCGGCACACACAGACACTGAAGGGACGGGTACGGATGCTGTTGCCACAGTGACGCTCACGAACGTGGAGGTGGCGGGAACGGATAGTGTTGCTGGGATGACGCTCACAAATGCTGAGGTGACGGGAGGAGATGGTGTTGTTATGGCAACGAGAACTGACAGTGTTTCAAAGGACTCTCCGTCGTCTCCGTCATCGTCCCAACAACACGTCCAGTTGAAGAGACTTTCGTCGACATCCTCGTCTCTGCCCTCCCTGACGTTGTGTAGCCACACCGAGGTGGCCCAGAAGCTGGTCTACATGGCGCCATGCCGAGAGTTTGGTGTGGATAACGGGGCAATTGTCAGGACTGCCATATTAGGTGACTCAATCAAATGTTCATGAAAAATCTAAGTGGGCTTTTCTGAAAGAAAAAAAAAATGTTTATGAGGTAATCTGTTTCAACGACAGTCAAAGCTGTCCAAAATGGCCTCCTATTGTCGAGGAGAAAATTGGTCACGATAGACACCTGGTTGGACCATGTCATTATAATATAGAAAAAAAATGCAAGGAGGGAAGTGGAAAGTTGTTGTTTGCATGGGCATGGGTAATTGTCTTAGACAGGTAGTTGTAACAGCAAGTTGATCTAATTTTTTTTTTTCAAGAATCTATACATGCCACTCTTGCATACGTGTTCTCACACTTTTTGTTTATTCATGATTGGCACTGGTGTTTGTGGTGAAGGCCCTTCGCTATTGTTTGCAGAAACGTTCGTTTCATTTTTTAGCTTAATGAGGAAATAATTTTATAATTTTATTGAGTATCTCTGGTGGTGGGGGGAGGATGTGTGTGTGTGTGGTCTGTGTGTGAGGCATTAACAATGATGATTAGTAATTTTGTTGGGGTCAATTTCCGTTTCAGGAGTTCCCAACTTCCATGAGCTTCATGAAGTAGAAGGCAACGCTGTGAGAATCTGCCGGGCGACCCATGCAGACAGGAAATGTGTGGCCAGCTGTGTCCTTGTCTCGCTTCTCATTGCCACCTTATTACAGGTCAGTTTTGTGGTTTTATTTCTGCTGGTGGTTGTCGGGTGCCTCTAGTAGGTCTTACTTCTTTTCTCTCCCTGTGGTGCTACTATCTTTGTTCTGTCTGTTTTCTTTCCTGCACCATATGGCTGTTATTGTGTTGATGTGCCTCTTGGAGAAGTTGTTTTATTGAATACCACTGTCCCCCCCCCAGGGCAGGGCTACTGACTAAAGTTGTCTTCAGGCCATTCCCAAAGGGGGGATATTAACATGTTCTTATGCACAGTAGAATTGTAAATGGGCTGATTTACCAATGTCATGCTCATGCTGTGTCGGAGCAACATAGGGGGAACTGCTGCTTTTTCTTTCCTCTTCTTTACTATCGTCATTTTTTCCCTCAACTTCTTTGGATGTTTGTCACTCTCTTGTGACCCGCTATATCCAGGGTGCCTTGATAGTCGAAGCAGACTCTGTTCTGTTGAGGCTCGAGATGTGAGTAGAGTAAGCCTGATTCCCCGTTAGGACTTCTCTGTTGACATCCACCCCTTTGCGCTCATATGACCTTATGCAGTTGCGAACTCCATAAAACCTTAATAAGAATATCACTGTCTGTCTGCTAAGATGCTGTCTCCCTCTCAGCTGAGGTACAGTTAAAAAAGCGATAGTGCTCTGATCATGACGTTGTGTGCTTTTTTCTTTCCACTGACCAGGGGCAGTTGGTTATGGAGACAGATGACCAGAAGAGAACGGTGAACGAAGAGCTCCTGGACAAACTGTTTCAACAGTCGGCGTCACACATCACCGATTCCTCGGACAAGGAGGAGTTTTTGTCTCTACGCAACTGCAAGTCTTTCTCAAAGTGAGTTGTGAGTAATAGGAGGGTACCGCTGGCAGGTTCCATTGTTGTTTTTCTGTCCGTCTTACTTTTTTAGGCACTAAGTGATTGATATTGTGTCGATGTGCTTCTTTTTACTGTTGCTAAGCCGTCAAAGCTCATGGTTAACCCTATCCGTACATCATGTTTTACTATCGTATCCATGCGACGTGGGGAACTCTTTGCCACCACTTCCAAAGAGGAAATTTACTCTTTAATCCAATCTGTACGCTTTGCATAGCAGTCTGTCAAAATGATTTTTTGAGAAATACTGAAAGTGTCAAAGAGATCATTGTAATAGAAGTATTCTAAAATGTGAAGAATTACAACCCCGGGGGTACAGAATGACCCCAGGGCGTGTACGGATAAAGTTAAAATTGTGGACTCGAAGTGTCAATATATGTGAGGTATCATGTGCTACCTTTCACCAAGGCTGTGTTTGTCCATTGATGCCCCACTCCTTGCCACAACAGACATCCATCTTCCTCGGGCTCTGCTTTGATGTAACATTTCGTGAAGTTGTAGACCAATGTCGGGTTTTATGTTTCCAATATATTATGTAGGTGGACTTTCCTTATTCCTTTTGCCTGAAACATGAGGACCATTTATGTCCACCTATCGACTGTTGCCATCAGTTGTTCAGTCTGAGGGCACTGAAGAAGCAAACCGCTTCTCTAATGCTGCACTGACTTTAGCTTGCTGCAGCATTGTAGAACAACCCTCTCTGCCTGCTCTCTGGTCTTGTCTGGTCTGATCTTCTACAGCTTTACTCTTTTTGTTTTTCAGGTGGGATTCTATATCCCACTTCACCTTTGTTGGCCCTTCCAGGTAGAGTCAAAACAGCTCGCTTTTCAATGATCTAAACTGTTGATAGGGGCATAAAAACATTTAAAATCGATCGTTCAAGGTTTTTTTTTTTTTTTTCATTTCAGTTTTGATGCAAGAGCAGCGTATGCTGTGAGTCACACGTACACCCCACTGAAAGCTGCTCTCATAGCACTATATTGGCCTGACGACTACAGGTAGGATAAATCTGTGATGTTTGTGTGTGTATTTGTGAATGTATATGTGTGAGTGTGTGTAATTCTATGTGTGTTGTGTTTGTGTTATTTGTTAATGTGTAGAATGTGGTATTTTGTTGTGTATACTTCTCCATGTGTATTGGCTTGGGGTCTGTGTCTGATATGGTACGGTATTGTATGATGGGTTCTCTGTCTTTTATGATATAGTATAGTATGGATTCTGCATCTTATATGGTATAGTATGTGTTCTGTGTCTGTAATAATATTAATATGATATTGCATGGGGTTTTTTTTTGGTATGTTATTATCTTAGTAACACCTCTAATTTTTGGCTCTTATATGATCTAATTGTGTTGCAAGTGCGATAAAACTCTTACCAAAACTAAAACTTAACAGCGAATGCCCATTTTCATCAAGTTGATTTGCTTCTTTTTACTCAAACAAACAACAAACATGCTGATGCTGCGCATTGCTTTGTTTGTCGGACAGATCTTTCATCACAGTGCTGACAAAGATGGCCGGTGACAGCAACAGCAATGCGTGTGTGGCAGGGGCGGTGCTGGGGGCCGTCAGGGGCTACTCGCTCTTAACCCCCTTGTGGCTCACGGATTTACGCAAACGACAGGTCACCTGGCTCAACAAAAAGGTCAACCATCTGCTGGACATCATGGGAGCTCCTTGACCGCTGGATGATGCGAGCATATCACAACAGGAGGGTAGGGGGGGGGGGGAAAAAACAAATAAAGTAGTGGCTGAGAGAGAGAGAGAGAGTGTGTGTGTGCATGTGTGTTTGTGCATACATGTGTGTATTGTGTGTGTGAGCAGGTATGAGTGGATGTTATTTTCATACATGTGTGTGTGTGTGTGCATGTGCGTATGTGTTGTGTGTGTGAACAGGTATGAGTGGGTGTATGTGCATACATGTGTGTGTGTGTGTGTGCCCATGTGTTATATGTGCACTCATGTGTTTTGCGTGTTCACAGACATGTGCGGATTATGGGCATGTGTATGCATGTATGTGTGTGGGGAGGGGCCGTACCTTTCCCCTGATGTGTACATATATACACATATATGAGTTCAGATTTCTGCGTGTATGTGTGTATGCCTATATGTGTGACTTTTTAAACTGATAGTTATGACTGTGAGTGGCTTTCGAAAATGATAACTTTTGGTGATGCCAGAATACGTTTTGTGACAAGAACGTTGTGCCAAAAAGTCTTTTATTTGAATTTTATTGTACAAAAGAGACTAAAAAACTTACCTGGAATAACAGAGTGGAAGGGAAGAGATGGCAAATAAGACTTTCTTTTGCTTGTCTGGAAAAACAGGGTTGGAGAAAGAATAAGCAAATAAGATTTTTTAAAGAACTCTACTGCAAGTATGAGTTTTTGTTGGGTAATTTTTCTACATTAACAGGGTAGGAGAAAGTACAGTAAAGAAGATACTTTTGTAAGACAGCAGGCCTAACAGGGTAAAAGAACTGGAAGCAAAATAAGGTATTTTAAAAACTTTCTGGAAGGTAGGAGAAATGATGTTGGGTCTTGGTGTGTAACAGTGATACAGTGGAGTCTGCTTAAAGTGAACTTTTTGGGACCAGAAGAATGTGTTCTCTTTATCCGAGGTTCAGTTTAAGCTTTTAGGTAGGGTGGAGGCTTAGAAACAGTAGCTACGTGCAGTGGTGGGTCAAAGGTGGAAGTGGTGTGGGGGGGGGGGGGGGAACAACACAGCGGGAGAGCCTAGACTAGAGCTCTTTCTTTCTGATTGCCATCGGCAACGCTGAGCTGGGATTGTCTTCCGATGCCCGAGGCAAAGAATTTTATTTTCACGGCATGGCGACAGTGACACGGTTGGTCCGTTTTTCGCTTTCACTCGTTTGGGCGTTCACTTTATCCGATTTCCCCATGAAACTGGTTCTTTTTATCCTCTGTTTTTTACTTTAAAGAATAGCATTTGAATCGGGACCACAGAATATCGCTCACTTTAACCGATTGTTCTAAAAAAGTGTGTTCACTTTAGGCGGACTCCACTGTACATGACTTACTGTTGAAATTGTCCAAGATGGCCACACGATGTTGAGAAGAATAGTGGTTGTCTTAGAAAGGTGGACATGTTGGACAATATCATTAAAATATATGGTCACTTTTAAGGACAAACGGGCTAACCCAGATTTCGGGAGTTTCCAGAAATCTTGACCTACACCAAAAGTAGGCTTTGGCCTACCTATAGTAGAAGTTTGGTTTCATTGGTGTGTATATTTGTTTGCTTATAGGGAAAACTCTCCTTGTCTTTTATAGACACTGAACAAGGGGCAAAAACTTTACCTTCGATTTTCTCAAAACAGCATTTTTTGGGATAGCCCCCTTGTCCTTAAGAAGCGACCATATAGAGAAAAAAATGCAAGGGGGATGTGGGCAGTGGTTGTTTATACCGGTGGTTGTCTTGGACAGGTGTCCAATGTACCCCAGGGAGTGTGCTTGTTGTACCGGAGAACTGCTACAATGTCCAGAAAATTCTCTCATGATGATCTTAATGTTGTGTGATACTGGGAGAAAGTTACATCTTACAGTTTTGAGTGTTTTTCAAAATTTTTCTCCAAAGCTTGAGATGAATGCAAAACTTATGTCTCATGCACAAATCCACGCATGGACATATACTTACATGTTTGGACTTCTCTGTTGACACTCACCCCTTGGAGCTCACATGACCTTATGCAGTTGCGAGCGCCGTTTAAAAAACCTTACTAACTAAAACTAAACTAACTAAATACTTGTTGTACATACATACCTGTGCAAAGGGTATAACCTTCCCCCCCCCCCCCACCTGCTCTTTATGATGTTGCACTGAAGTCACATGACTAGCCTACCTCTGACTTTGTGAAGAAGTGTCCTCAGGACTTTGGAAGTTCAGTTTGAAATAAAAAGCCTCCTTTCCTACAGATGGAAGGTTAGATTATTTATACTTCTCTTTTATCCTAATATTCTTTCTCCCTTTATTTAATTTCTGTCTTTTTTTCCCTCCCATTTGAAAAAAAAGAGGCATGTAAAAGTTACAATCATAACAATCAAAGCCCTACACAGAGGCTGCAGAGGTATTGTTGTTCTGGCAAACCTTTTTGTAGGAAATCCTTTATGTAATGTATGTACACAGGCAATCCTTCATTTATGTACATTATGTTTTTTCGACTGCTCAGTATAAGACTCTGTCATACGTCACTTTTCAACATGGTGCGTGGAGGATGCCAAATCTCCAGTTTTTCCATTTTTTTTCATCCGTTGGAATTTTTCCACTGACATTAGGTCCTTTTTCTCAAGACAAAAATAATATTGGAATTGATGCAACAAAGGTCCAATGCACTTGCAAAGGAAAGGGGAGAGGTAAGACTTAGAGATGTTTTTGTTTGCTCATTTAAAAACTTTACAAGGTTCGTTTTAGGTGAGATGTGATGCTCTGCTCATTTTCAGTGTTTTTTTTTCTTCCTAAAATCATTTGGCATCCCTGGGAGTCTTACACTGAGCAGTGGACACGTGTACTCAGAACATGATGACATCATTGAGACTGTACACTTCACGTCTGCTTCTTCTGCGTGTACCCGGTACTGAGGAATTTTAAAGAGATAATATAAAGTTTTGTCTCAATTTGGATTTTTATTTATTGGTCACTTTTGTTTTATTTATACTCACAGGATTGTGGTGAGTTGTTTTTGATACGTTTATCTCTAAATTATTTTTTTGTACCACGTGTACTGTTTCCTGCTCATGACAGTTGACAAATGTTTGTTGTATGTTTTATACTATTCTGTGATGCACTGTGAAAAAACCCAATTATATTTCTAATTTAGTATTTCTGCCTTTTATGAAAGTGATACTTGTACACTCTCATAAACTCATGTTCAGCGGTGCTGATTCTCTGGATAAATCTGGAAATCCTGATTCTTGAAATTGTCCAGATTTTGCATGACTTCATGCTGAATGTTGTTATATAAGATGTCTTAGACAGTATGATCCATAAACCTTGAGTCCTTGTGTATGCGTTTCCAGGGGGTCCAAAAAGTTCCTGATTTTTTTTTTCTCATAGCCAGTTGATACCTCTTTATTTTGGCAAACAAGTAGTCGCAGGGCTCTACTAATCGGACCTAATCTTTTTTTTTTCGCCTCTTGTTTCTGTCTTTTTTGCTTCTTCTCTGCATGAAATGACTGCGGGGTTTTTGAGTTGAATGTGTACTTCTCTTTACTCAGACTAATCTAAAATGGTTGTGCATCCGAACTTCATATTATTCATTTGCGGTTTGTACAAGAAAGAAAAGTGAACTGCACATATTGGTCTATGGTCAGCATCTTATGTGAAATGGTTAGGCTCTTTGCTGTTGCCACTCAGCCTTGACTGGCAGGGTTTAGGCTGCCTGTCTCCTAACACTAGATCTAAATGAGGACATTGAGGGTGTAAAAAATGTGCAATCTACTCGGATAGATCTGTGGGAATCATCTTCATCATCTTCCTTACTCATCCTGTGTTGGAGGATTGGCCACCATCAAGAGCTGTCCATGTATCGGGTGTCTTAGAAAAGAAAAAAAAAAAGGACCCATTCATAGGGCATTAACTCAGTCATGCTTAGACAAATTTCAAGAGTCATGAAAATGAGAAAAACGCATGATGATGTATATCTGGTGGCCTGCTTTGTTTTGTTTTGTTTTAGACTTGTTTGAAGGTTGCTGGCCTATGGGTTTTTTAATTTTTAAAACAAAGTTTTGCTGGGAGAGTCAGTAGTTCAGAAACTTTGGTTGGTACTCTGTAGTAAATGAAATAATGAGTGTGATTGTATTTATGTATTATATTTTTATATTGGTGTTTTTTAATAAATATTTGTAATTGCCATATAATCATACATAAAAGTCTGTAGATAGTAGGTTGTATTGTTGAGAACCTTTACGCAATGGTCCAGTCTTTTCTTACTCTGCTTCACAACAAAAGTAACTCACTGGCGCGACCTGTTAAATTGTTCAGATTAATTTATCCTTATTCCAACAAAGCTGGACCTACAGAAAAATTCTTTAGTTTTGGTATTTTCTGTATTTCTTGTTCAAAGTGGAGGTAGTCTTTTTTTATTTAAGAAATTTCTGCATTTTTTGTTCATCAAAGCTGAATGTAAAGAAACATTTTTGAGGCTGTTGTAATTTTACATAACTTGTTCAAAGCTGAATCTAAAGAAGGAACAGTTTTAAGTACGGTTTTTTCTACATTATTTGTTCAAAGAGTTGCATTCTGCTTCAATGGGTCTTTTAACCCATGGTCTTGAGGCTGAATCAATTATGTACTGTCATAGTGAACTGACCCTGATCTTACTTTTCCTTAAGTTTATGCTCACTCCTTGCAGGACTTTGAATCAAAAGCGAATTAATCAAATTCACACCCAATGGTTCAAAACTTTTCTGTTGGAGAAATTGATTCTGCTGTTCTCACCCCACCCCACCTCACTTGCCTCCATCTCTCTTTCCTTCCCCTCTCGTTAATACTTTGCAGTCAAACAGCCAGCAGTACAAAATACCCCATCTGGTCACCCAGCCAGGAGAGTGACTGCAACAGACTTCTCGGGCCTGGTTCAGGCCAAGTGACCAGAACGGATAATTTTCACTGTCGCATTATTGTGCCAAGTTACCACGAAGTGTTAACCGATAGAGCTGATGATAAAGTTAATGATTACGCCTGTCCTCTATCAAAATCCATGTCTGAGGGCTGTATGAACTCTAAACATCTTGCCATGACCTGATGTGTGTTGTTTCTCCATTTTGTGAGTTTCAAAAAGTGGTCCCTGTTGGAAATTTGTGTGAGAAAGTCTGTGTTAGACAATTGTAATAATAATAATAATGTAGATCATTTCTATAGCGCCCGCTTCCATGTGAACACAGCTCTAGGCGCTGTATGTAAGACTAAGACTATGTAAAGGGATGTATGCTTACCAGGAAGTTGACACGTTTTTTTTTTTAGAATGCTATCAGGTTTGCTGGGGTAGTAATAATTATAGATTTAGCAGGTTCAGTTCTAGAAACCAGTATGCCACATTTATCTAAAATTGACTTTTTTTTGGCTTTTCCATGGCCGCAGATCTTTTTCCATCACATAGCTTTTCTATGTGAGCATTGGACTATAAATAAATTACAGCACATCAAAAAGATTGCGACAAAGAGAGATTTGCAGCCACGGGAAAGCAAAAAAATCAATTTTTGAAAAATGTGGCATATGGGTTTCTTGAACTTGAACTAAACGGTCGCTTTGTAAAATGTATAGAGGTTGCTGTTGAGTGGGAATTTGTGTTATATGCTATTTATTATCATTAAATTATCTGTGTAAGGCAGTCTGCATGAAATTGTTTAAGTTTAAGACAGTCAGCATTAGACAGGCTGTGTGAAAGGACCAGTGTTTTGTGGGTATGATGTAAATGTAAATGTGTGTGTGTGTTATGAATTTCACCTCTTCTGTTTTCAAAGCTGTTGCTTGCTGTATCCTTATGCCACATCTTCACCTTTTTTTCTCTGGTTGATATGTTAGTTGTTTGGTTTTTAAAAATCATGATTTCGCCTTCAGTTCTGCCCTCAGTAATCAAAGCTTGGCTGGGAAAATATTTAAAAGTAAAAAAAACAAAAGTACAGGGACAACCATGGTTACAATTTTATCATGTACATCACATTGGAAGAAACAACCATGTCTCAAACTCAAAAGTGACGAAATTGTGACTTTTATACTTTTAGTAGAGATGCACTACATGACTGTGTCGACTCAAACTATGGGAGCAGCTTTTTGAAAGTGGTTTCAACAGAAACACTCAAAGCACAGTACGGTATGCTTAGGTTTTAAATCTAGGATTTGATTTTCTCCAAACCATGATCATTCTTCTATTGTGACCTACCATGTGTTTTAGTACTCTCAGTATTAATGTGATGTACAAAGCTGGATCTGTTGTGTTACTACACAGCATCTACTGTTTGGTAGTGTGTATTCTGTCAGTGGTAACATACAGATGGCTGTAAAACTTGCCAACGTTTTCAAAACCCAGTCTGGGACAACCAGCATTATAGCATCCGTTTATGTAACAACGAACAAAATTGCATCAAACTGGACGGAGTGGTTTTGGTGCCATGTAAGTGATAAGATTCTCGAATTCCTGATTGTCAGGAATTAGCAAGTCTTGTGTTGTGAAGTCATTGAAGGCCATTTCTACAGAATATCATTACATTATCTTCTCTCCGATATAATTCAAAATCCCACTTTTTCCTCTCTAGATCACTCGGAGGATCTTAGTCCTCACTGCTCTCTGACATTTTGCCACGAATCAATTTGTTTATACTGCTAGATTCAGTTAACAGCAAACAGATCTTGAATCAAAATACATTTAATTCTTAGCCTTTTCTACATGTTTTATGTAGGATCCATTTGAAAGTAACTTACTTTGTTACAAAGGCCTTTATTAACTTATTCAGCATTAGCCAGCATTGCCACATATATATGCTTTTGTTCAACCTTGCATCTTATGTTCACCAATCATGATTTTAGATTCAGTTCATGAAGAATTTGAAGGAGTGCTAAATGTGCTCAGCTTTGTAGCAGAATTTTGTGTCACATTGTGTTTTAGTCTTTTACCTTTTCTCCACATATTTGAATTAATTTTCTTGTGTGGATTTGACTTTCAGACTTCTTTATTCTGTACTATACTATGTCATAAACTGTCTTTTCAAAGTCTATGTAAAAGACATTTACACTGTGTAAGTCACCTCACTACTCACTTTTTCTTCTTTTCGGACTTTTACAAATGTGTATTTTTAAAAAATCCGTGTTGTTTAAAAAAATATGATGCATACACAAGAAGAAAACTTGAGGATTCAGTGTACAGATTGTAAGGTCATGAAGATGTTTGCTGAGATTTATGCTTGAAGTACTAATGTGTCTCTTACTTTTAGGAAAAGACACAAGGTTCCTTACTACGCAAGAAGTCTCAAAGGTGTGATCATTATTATCAGATATTATTTATTGATAAATTATTCATGCTGTCGTTTTTTAAAATCAGATCAGGCCAGGTGTTCATGCCTTGGCACTGATCTTAATTTTTTAAAGAATTGTAAAAGTTTTATGCCCCACAACCCCAAGTGTTCATTTTTTAAACTGCTTTGCTAAATCCTGAAAGCTATAACATATAAAATTTCAACTTCAACTGCAAGCTCATCATTGACTTGTTTTAAGTAATATGCTGTCTCCTACTAAGTGATCTAAATTGTATTGATGGGGGTGTAAAACATTTACAATGATTTACACAGAGATTGTCTTCCTGATTTTGGGGTTCATGGGCTCCATGTCAATAATACCAAGTGAAGTAGTCAAATATTTCACATGAGTGTACATGAAGATGGAATTTTTTCAGAACATGTCAGCTTCCTCCTCCTTATCATCAGTAGTAATGGTCACAAACTATATATATGTAAGTCTGAAATTCGATAGTTTTATTTTTGTTGTCTGAAAGGACTGCTTGGAAAACCCTCATGCATCATGTTCTAATATTGTGCAAAGTATATGTGTCACGACGCTGTGGAATCGGGCGCTTATCAATTTTTGGTCATGTGAGGTTAATGGTATCATCTTAAACTAAAGTTGAAGCCTGTTCATTTGTCTTCCATTTGGTGAAAAAAAAAATATCCGTCTATGTTGAATAGAAGAAGTTGAAATATTTGCGATTGAAGGAGGTCAGGGTCGCCTGGTTTCAGAGGTAAAATTAGCAAGAAAATGGCTGCCAAAGTTTTTTAACTTCCCATAGCCTGAGAGTCCTTGGAAACTGGAAATTTACATTTTGTGTGCCTTTCATCCTAAAAATTTGTTTTTAAATGGACATAAAAGGCGTTGAGCCAAAAAAATAATTTAAAAAAAAAATTTGCTCATCGGCCAAAAAGATGCAGATTTCTTTGATTTAGATCTAATTATTTTGACGAACGCCGGATTTCACCACGATGCCTCACATATGGAATGAACATGACTAAATACAGTGTTGGCTCAAAATGTACACGTCCATTATCTGCGGTACACTTGACATTGGCACACTGTTTTCCTTGAAGGATAGCAATTTCAGACTTACCACCACGGTTTGTGACTGTTACTGTAGATATATGAAGAAGCTTTTTGGGGGTAGCTGACAGTTGTGGAAAAAAATTCTGTCTGTGGGATGATTTAATTGTTACTGGTCTTTTTGTTACTTCACTGTACCAACATTTGCAAGTGTGTATAGATTTGAGATGAAATACACTTTCAATAAATTATTATAGATCATATGATACTTTTGTATTTTGGTCTTTGTGTTCATAAGCTAATTCTACAAAATATAAAATGTTTCTAGACGAATTAACTTTGCCTCTCCTAATGTCAGAACAGTGGGTGCTCTGGTGTGATTTGCTCCTGCTTTCCTATTGAACATCTGTTGTCCTTATCTCTCTTCTTCTTTTCTTTGTATGCTACTGTTGTGGGTGGTTGACGGGTGCTCAGTTGTGGTTTGCTCATTCTTTCCTATCAACTTTCTTTTTTGTGTCTCTTGTAACACATAATCTATTCTTCGGCACTTATTATATGTCCTTATTGTGTTGTAAGTACCGTAAAAGTCTTACTAAAATCAAGTATGCTACTCCCTAGTAACACCTCTAATCTTCGCAACTTATATGATCTGATTGTGTTGCAAGTGCCGTAAATCTCTTACCAAAACTAGAGTCAGAACAAGCAGGTAAAGTGAGTAATTCCTATACCCAGCCCAGTGCACACTGCCAATCAGATTCATTTGATAGTCCTGGTCTCCCAAATTTTTCTTCGTGGAGGGGCAAAAGCTATACCATTTTGGCACCATATGGCTGAACTGATATGATTTGTGACTTATAAAAAATATATGCGTTTGAATTTGAAGGTCAGTCAAATTGAGTTGAATTGTGTTGTATTGTGCAAAAAATGGAAACTTTTGCCCTGTCCATGTAGGAAAAATTCAGTCAAAAGAGTCGGATGGGCAGTGGGCACTGAGTATTAGCAAGGAGCTGCTACTAATAATAGCATGGCCACAACTTTCTCTGCGAGAGCACTTTCCCTTTCCCCAGAATCAAGTTCATAAATGCTGCAATGAGTCAATATTCCAGCCCCATAAATTTAGACAATACTGTCAGTGAAAAGAAATAGGAGTAGACCTCACAAGTGGTAATACCACTAGTCACAAGGACAACCTCATACTGAAGTACATGTATATATATGGCAAATTCACCAGAAAACAACAACACCAATAACTACAAAGAGGATTTTACTAAAAAAAACACAAAAAAACAACAACCAACTTTGCAGCATGAGTAAGACACATGACATGACGCCATCAAAAAAAATTTCCAAACTATATTTGAGCCTAAGGAGCACTGGTGGATGATTTTCTTAAAATCTTAAATTGAAGTTTTTCTGTATCGCCTTGATACTATTACTTTACTGGACTATTTTCAGTAAAAACCCACTGTCCTTAAATATCCCCTGCACCTGACACATGAGGCTGTTTGAGTAAAGAAAAAAAAAATCATGTTGACACAATAACACAGTCATTCAGTTAAAGGGAAAAAAAGCAAGATGGACAAACAGAAAAAACAGAGGGAAAGAAAAGAAATAGGACCTACTTGTGGCACCCTCCAACACTGAAGCATGAGATCAACAAACACTGATAGATAGGATAGGTAAAAGTACACCTTGTCTCTCAAACAAAAAAATACACATAAAAAAACAATCTGAGCAACAAAACGAACTCTGGTGAATAATGTCCATCTATTAACAGTAAAGGTGCAGAAAAAGGAGAGAAAAAGACAAGAGTCCTCTGTTATCTTTTCTTTCGCCCATGTCGGACGACTTTAAATCCGTCTTCGTCCTCTTTGTCTTCAGCACCCTCTGCCGTTTCCATGTCGTCACCGGTTTCTGGGGAATGCAATATCATCAATGAGGTAGAGAGAAGAGCGAAAAATCAAAATAACAAACACATCACTGAAGTAAAAAGAATAGCCATTATTCATCTTTTAGTTCTGTCTTGTTCTTACAGTTACTTAAAATAATTACAATAGATTTTGTTTCACGTGAAGCTTTTAAACAAGAAATTCCTGTTACCTTCCACGAAAGGTTTTCAAGTCCCGCGTTTTATTTTCCCCCCTCTTTATTCTATTGTCAGTAACTTCTAGAGCCTAGCACCGACGACGATTTCCATTGTTTGACCAGATCAAGACCAACATTGTGAGCTCATGAAATGTACACAAAAAGCTCTGCTACTGTTGCATATTTAGTTGAAATAAAGATGTATAGGAAAAGTAGATGGTCACAGACTGAACACTTTGCCCTTACGGAACGTCGAAGCCGTCTCTTTCCCCTACCGGATGCCGACTGGTGATGGTGTGATATAGACAGAAAATTAGAAAATTAAAATGTAGCAATTATCTCCTTTTTGACATGAGCACTTGTTAAAGTAATAATTTCCTTTCTGAATAGTTAGTGTAGCCTTTGAAAATCTGTTTACAACAATTGGAGTAAATTTTTTTGAAATATGACGAGTAGATCTGGCATGAGTGCTGCTTTACACTTAAACCACGATGAGAATTCTGGTGATGAACATGCTGGATCTAAAGTTCTCAGTTCCGATTCTAATTCCCTTTTTGGTGAATAAGCGATCATCACATTCAATTTTCTCAATTTGCTGAAAATTTCACAATGGTTGGGGTATTTTTGCCGAGATACAGGTATAGTAATGATGTACCCCATCCACATCCAAATCCTGGTACGTGGGAACAAAGGTTGACCGCTCTGCGCGCTACAAGGGCGGAAAGTGTTAAGGCTGCAGCAACAATGTAAATAGAAAATATCGTATCCACAAAGAAAATAATCTTTTTCTATGGGAATTGTAAATGGTTTTGTATTTCTGAAACCTGTCTTAATAACAATGTCCGAATTTTGCAGTGAGACTTACTAATACAATACAATAATACATTTCTTAAACTAATGCTGATTCAAACCTCATGTTGTGACCCTGGTGAGTTTTAAATTAGTCACACTTAAAAGAGACATGGAAATATTTCACTTGTTAGGGAGACACGAAACTGACCTTGTGATGCAGAATTCTGTCCAGCAGGAGGGACATTAGAGTGGGAGGACGGAGGGGGACCAGGAGCCTCTTCATCACTCTGGAAAACAAAACCAGCGTTGTCATTAGAGACCATAAGAAAAAGAGGAGGAGGTGGAGGAGGAAGAGGATGAAGAACGAGAAGGAGGAGAAGGACGACGACGAGCAGCAGAAAAAGAAGAAGAAGAAGAAGAAGAAGAAAAGATTGCATTTTTACATAACCAATATAACTTCTACCAAGAAGTTAAGTAAGGAAAATGAGTGTAAAGTGCTTGTCCCAATGACACAAAAGTACTGACAATATCAGCCCTAGACAAAGATTTGAACCTTCCACCTTCCTGTTTTGAGTCTGACAGCCTTACCACTTGACTAGTGATACCTTACATAGAGAGGAAAGATGATATATATATGTATTGTATAATAAAAAATATTATATTTCCTTCTCTACCCCCCTTCCCCGACACAATTTAGATAACCTTGGTGTCTGTCATCAACTGCATAATACATACTGTCAAAAAGCATACAGTTCTTGATCTGATATACACCACTATTATTTTTATTTTAGTAAGCATTTTACGGCACTTGCAACACAATAGGGTCATATAAGTGCCGAAGAATAGACGTGTTACAAGAGAGTAACATACACAAAAAAGGAGGAGAGAAAAGGACGATAGATGTTTGATAGGAAAGAAGGAGCAAACCACACCAGAGCACCCGCCAACCACCCACTATACACCACTGCATAGAACAAAGAAGATCATGTACAAAAACAAGCCGTCCAAAGCATCTCTCCCTCTACCACTTCATTAACTATCTAAGGCTGAAGAAAGCACTCACATCCATTTCCTCCACCCTGTTCTGCCCCTGTTGGCAGTGTTGAATTGAGGCTCTGGGTAACACGTTCAATCTCTGTGCAATTTCTTCGCTCTTGTTTTCCTGACAGAGCCGGTAAAAGGTGCAAATGAGTCTTGAAATCTGCAAATAAAAGTAAAGAGATCAAAAACCTCATGAAATTCAGGATAAGCAAACAATGTCCAAGTGAAAAGTCAGAAAGTCAGTTGTCTTCAACTAGATTTACGAGGATGCAAAAAATATACACTGAAATCTGTAAAGTAAGGGTGGGGGCTCTCGTGGCCTAGAGGTTAAGGTGTTGGCCTCTCATTCAAAGGTCCCGGGTTCGAATCCGGGTAGCGACCGAAAAATTTTCTTCTCTAAAATTGTCTCCTTTAACCTCCTTTCCTGCTCTCTAGCAATGTTCTGTTGTCTGCTTTCATTTCCACTTTCTGCCCCCACCCCCTCACCTCCTTTGCCCCCTCCTCTGGGCTCCTGACTCTTTCTGCAGCCTTTCTACTGCTACTCCTTGGCTCCTCCTTACTGCTGTCTTTCTGCCACACCCCTGATCTTCTGGTAGGAAAGATCTACACCTAGCCTTCTCGGACAAGGGCGAAAAATCTCGGAGGGCCCGTGTGCAAGTTGCGCACGTTAAAGATCCCTTGGTGGTCTAAAATCGATAAGAGTAGGCTTCGGCCGCCACCCGGGGAAAATTCAAAATTTCCTACCAACTGAAAATATTAGGTGTGTCCCACGCGCTCATATGACCTATGCAGTTGCAAGCGCCGTAAAACACTTTACAAAAACAAAAAACAAAAGTAAGGGTCAAGTTGAGGGTCCCGTTTAGGTGTGTATTGTTCATCCTTTTTTTTTACCTAAACTCAACAAACAAAAGAGGGCCGATGAGTCATTCCAACCAAAAGACACAAAATAGTGTGAAAATTGATGCCGTGTACAACACTGGCCAACAGCTCTTAAATTTACCCACTCACCTCTGGAAGGCTATTGTCTTCTAAACGCAGGTCAAATTCTTCATTCAATATGTCGGCCAGGAAGTCCTCTACTTCATACGGCTCTATGCCATCTGTAATTAAAAAAACACAAAAAAACGCAATTCAACACTCTTACACTATCTAGTGCATGATAATTCATTGTGTCTGCAAAATACATATAACCAATACACACACCAAAATAGATACTTGACAGGTCAATGTACTTGGTGGCATCAAACACTTGATGCAAAAGGTACCAACACCAACATAAGTATAGCAATTTTTCTAGTGAATGCTAGGATAAACTGTTAATTGTCTAAAAAACCAAAGCCAAGAAGAGGGGGGACCTTGACAGAAATATTTCTATCATATTGCAACCATGAATTTCAACACTGGGGGCTTCAAATACATTTGTATCACGACGCTCATCAATTTTTGGGCATGTTGAGTAATTGATATCCTCTTAAAGCTTGTTCATCTTTCTTGCTTTCAAAGAAAAAAAATACCCATCTTTCTTGAATATAAGTCGAGATATTCATGATTGAAAGAATTGGGGGTTGCCCAGTTTCAAAGGTAAAATTAGCAAGAAAAGGCCACCAAAGGTTGGTGAATTCCATTGCTTGAGAGTACTTGGAAACTGAAAATTTATATTTTTTTGTGTCTTTAATCAGCGTTTAAAAAAAAGTAAAATCCACACAGAAATGTGATTTTAAAAAGACATAAAAGGTGTGCCAAAAATCCAAAAATTCGACAAAAATTGCCAAACCAGTGGAAAAAAGCCTGTTTCTTAAATTTCATTATTTTGATGAGTGCCTGATTTCACCACCCTGCCTTACATTTCATATTTGACGGCATACATGCTCACTTAATAATAGATAACATTTGTGTAATGCAAATTCTCACTCAACAGCAAGCTCTATGCGCTTTATGATCTATATTATTACCCCACTTCCAACATTTAGCCAGTACCCACTGTGCTCTACCCCTTAAGTTTGGCAACTGATGTTGATAGAAAAGAAAATCTTTGTCCTCAACAGACTTCCACACTCTGAAATTTTCCATATAAGTATTTGTCTTAAGCATTGAGCATGGCATTCCAAATTGTTCTCTGTGAAAGTTTTTGAATGAGAATGACAAAGATAAATAAAATAAGAGCTGTTGTAGACTAAAGAAAACAAACTAATATGTACTTGAACCTGTTGATAAAGATCTATTGCAAGCAAAAAAAAATAAAAAAATAAAAGCACCATGGCACATTGTTTTAAGTGAAGGACAGATGTCCCTGTCATCATCGATAAAAAGTCTTACATCAGTCATCACTGGCATTCATCGAACCCTCAAATTCAATAAAAAATGATGTCACAGTTTGTCAATATAATTTCTGCTACAACTGTTGCTATTGGACTAGTAATAATGTCAACATTAAGACAAAAAACACAGCAGAGACCTCTTACCATTTTCTCTGAACCAGGTGTCTACTGCCTCGACCATCCATTCTGCTTTCTCTTGGCTTTCAGGCCCTCCAAACCCCTGCTCCACTGCCAACTGTGAATTTAGAGAGAAGTTCAGTATTACTTTTCTATACAATGTGCATACAACAACAAAAAATACAAAGGGAAAAATCACCAGAGCAAAATATGAATACAAAAGAAACCAAAATGGAAATTGCTACAGCGAGCAACTTTGGAATCATGAATCTCCTCTATACCTTCCAGCAAAGCAAGGGGATCAACTCTGTTTTGGGACTCTTATTATAATTCACTACTTGTAAAAGTAATATTTCATTCATCTGTCATTCATCATAACCATTTAAACATGGACTGTCACTGCAGTGGTCTAAAACTTACTGTGGGATACAAGAAGAACAGGAATACTACACTCTCAGTCCACCTTCCCACGCCAAATTCCATGCTATCCTATAATTGATAGCAGCACCCTTTTCAACCCTGGACTGTGATTTAAATGCAGGACCTCTAAACTAAATTCTGGCCTTGCTGATAAAGGGGAAGGGGGCGGAAAGAGGGGAATGTCCCCCTCAAATCCTCCGATTGGCCCAAAGCGCGGAAACGGCCGCCTGGTGTTGACAAATTTTAGTGGGAGTCTAAATTGCCGGAATTTGCTGGAAAACTCACAGGTCTGTTACTATAATTATTTTTACTTTTTAAAAATGGGAGAGCGGTGTTCCCAAAGCCGGTTATCCTCTCAAGCAAGCAGAACATGGCTATATTGAGAAAATAATACAGATCTAGATGTGATGCAAGTTTAAGTGTGCCTTTGTTGCACTGTTTCAGATTCCACCATGGTGAAGCCAAAAATGCACAAAACCAAGACATTTGGGAAGAAAATAAAAAGGACGTAGCAGCTTCTACTTCTTTTTGGCTTGAAAAAGTCATGACTTCTTTAAGAAAGGCAGTCACTCACCTGTCAAATCATTTAAAAACTCTTCTTTTTTGTGGCAAAGACTTACAATAAACTCAATTTACATAAACAACTCAGTTTGCCAGCATCAACATAAATTTAGAAAGGCATTTCGGCATGACACATCTTTTTTCTCAGAATAATTTCTGACACAATCTGCTACACTATTTTGAGTAGTCTCAGAAAGTTATTGTCAGAATTGGTTGAAATTTCCTCACAATAGTCCATGAATGTCTTCCTTATACTTTACAGAGGTATTTTTGCTTCTTTTCCCACATGTTTTAAGTTTTCAGACCTTTTGTAATAAGTACGTAGATCTAGTCTGAAATATCAGATCTAATTCTAGGCCACATAAGATTGAAAATCTCCAAAGGGAATGTAGATATTTAAAATTGGGTGTGTAAGGTTTTAGATATTACCTTGAATATTTACCATGCCAATTATCAAGTGTCTATCTTAAGGAGTTATTGAGATTCACGAAAAATAAAATGGTGCAAAAAAACCGCTGACTCTGCAATTTCTTTTCTGTGCCACATGAAAAAAACGTGAGAATTTAATCTTTTGAAGGCTGATTAAGGTTTCATTTTATACAGACACACACATTTATGAAGAAAACAGCATTAAAACAGTCAGATCAACGTTTTGGTATGAACCATAGCTACACCTCCTTACCTGCCTTAAGTTTAAGGCACAGGCATCAAACCAGCATGGTTGCTGAAGAGTAAATGTAAACATTGTACCTGGAACTAGGCCTACGCATTTTGTTTAATCATTGCAATAAACACACTACATCTACTACAGTTAGACTCAAATCTTTGAGAGGCAGTACTGATTATCTAAATTTTGACAGATGGATTCGTAAAAAAAACAACCTGAAGAGCAGTCCAACTGTTCAAAACTGCTTTAACAGCTTCAACAAACATGCTCTGTTGTTGGCTTGAAGCAGCCATTTTTGTTTTGTTCTATTAATAAAAATTATGATCTTAAAACTTGAAACGTTACTTGGCAAACAAAACTTTTGTATCAATCTAGACGAGAGCAACAAAAAATTACTGCTTGATTAATAATTAACAGTAAAACAAAATTTTCGAAGGAAGACACTGTTACGTATAGATGGACAAAACATTGTTTGTATTAAGATTTGTTCTGTTGTTTTATTTGGGGGCTCATCGTAGGTATGATATTTTTGGGGGTAACCCGGAAGTGTGAGACACCCAGCCAGCTGTTGCCGGAAGTAAACCTGACCCACTGACTGTTTTTCTTTTGTAGGCTGTGACGAGAGACATTCTACTTCCTTGGGTCTTAGTGGGTGTTGCGAAACCCTTGGGTCAAAGAAAAATGTCTCAAAATAGACAGAAGGCTGTCAACGCCCCTTCAATTCTACTTCAAGACCATGAAAATGAAGCATTGTTCCAAACTGTTGGAAGGTCTTGCACGGTGAGTTAGATCTTAAATATCAATTAATTTTTCAGGTCCAGACGCCAGCAGACCTCCCTCTGTTTCTCTTCTTCTCTGTCATCTCCAACACTAACTAACAACACCCTAGATCTAGATATTCTAGTCTGGTCCCTAGTCTGCCTCTAGATCTAGTCTTGATCTAATCTAGATCTGATTTAAGTTTCCTTATTTATTGTTTGGAAACAGTAAAATAGAGGTTTGAGGATGTTGGGCTAAGAGACATGCGATTAATCGTAGAAAGACGCAAACTATTTTTAGGTAAGGCGCCCATCTTGTTTGACGTCAGACCAGGATACCCCTCCGATTTTGCTGTTTGCTCATTAAATCAGTGAGTGACAGTAGGCCTCAGTCTTTTTGGTAGTCTAGATTTAGCTATTGTACTTTTGTTTCTTTGTAGTTCAGTTCTTAGTGTTTGAGATGCCAGTGGATAATTTGGGCTTTTTAAAATTAAGAAAATATTTTCCCCGCCTTATAATTTTGTATACCTATTGCAATGGAGATTGAAAAGCTATAATCTAGATCTAGTCTTCTCAGGATAAAATCAGAGAAAGACATAAGTCACACTGTGGGCTTGGAAAATTGAGTGAAAATTCAAAAGTAGACCTGCAGAGACAAATTTATGATCAATAGTCTTGTCCCAAAACAAGAAACTGTTGTCAGTATAAAGAGTTGTGAGTACTTCTAAAAACTACATTCTGAGGAACCCTATATTCCTTGTGTAGAGAAACAAATTGCTTTATATTAAGAAAATAGTTGCATGTTGCGAGCCCTGAGATGTTGACACAAATCTAGATTAACAACTTTCTTAATCTTTGTCTCCCATTTCTGTTCAAGTGATACGAAGTTTGATAGAGAACGAGGACCACATTTTAAGAATTGCTCCTGCTCCCCATGTAGTAGACTTTTTAAGTACATTTTTAAAAGATGTGTTTGTTACATCATCTTTTTGGCTGCAGACACAGGAGCAGATGGTCCAGTTTGCATGTTGTGACAAGAAAAATGCTTTACTCTGTTCATGTTTCAGAGTTACCTCAGACGGGCTGAGTACTCTGATAAAATGCTGTTGTTTACCCGTTGAATATTCCCGATTCTTTAGTTTTATTGACTGCTGTATTTTAGATGTTAACAGTTAAGAGATAAGGATTTTAATGTTTCACCTTACTAGGGAATTAAGATTCATCAAGTATATATATATTGTATTATATATATATAATATAAGTTCTGATTTCACGCCAAAGTACCCAAGGAAAAACATACATCTTACTTGTATACTAAACCAAATTATAAATCAGAGAAAGTATTTGTTCATTCTTGCTCTTATCAAGAATATGTTCCTACATATTTTCTTTTTTTTCCTTTTTTTTGTCCAGAGGAAAAGAATACATGGGCTAGCTTGCTATATTTTTCAGTCACAGGTGTAGCTGAATCTCCATATATTTACAATGGAGATAAGAAGATGTGAAGTGGGAGGGGGCGAGGCATGTTCATGCTTTAAGATGCTGTGCTTGGGATTTTGACTGTTAATTGTGACCTGTCTGTTACTTATATTAAATATGACCTTAGAACCTTAGAACTAGAACTAGTGCAAGAGCCTGGCACATGATGAGTGTGCAGCACAATCTTTGCCCCCCAGTGTCCTTCACTCTGCCAAAGCTGGTGAAGTAGGGTGAAGTTAGCTAGCTAATGGCGATGGATTTTATGTGGCAAGTAAGTGTATGGAATGTTTGTGTGTAAATGATGTGTTGTGCGGATGGTTAGAGGGTGTTACTTATTTACCATCCCTTTCACTCCGTTGTTTCTGTCTTCTTCTTGTTGCACCCCCTGCCAGAGCTCAGGGAGTAGCTGATTGTATGATATTCTTCTCACAGTGCAGATTATTTTTAAGTAATGGCTGTTTTGTCTACGCCGTTTCTAGAATTATCCCTTGCTTGACACCAGTCAGAAAGCCCTATTCTTTTAGATTTTAGAACTGTTAAGGGTTTTCAATGTGCAAAACGTCCACATAGTACTTCTGGAATATTTCATCCTTATCTAAGAAAGCTAAGTGTCTGATCCTACCTACCCTGTGATCAGGAAGTGTAGAAAACAGGAAAAGAAAAAAACCTGACAGTGGCTAGGATCAAACTTGAGATCTCTGGGTTGACAGGCAAACACAATACATGTTGAGCAAATGAACCCCCTGTTGTTTCTATGTATCGGTCTGTTTTTTTTCCAAGCTCCGGATGACCTTTAAATGGGTGGAATTGTTTCTCTTTTCTCAAACTGAGCTGTGTGGGTGGCTGGCGGGTACTCTGGTGTGGTTTGCTCCTTCTTTCCTATCAAACATCTGTGGTCCTGATCTCTCCTCCTTCTTTTTTATGTTTGCTACTCTCTTGTAACAACTCTAATCTTCAGCACTTATATGACCTTATTGTGTTACAAGTGCCGTAAAACTCTTACTAAAACTAAAACTGAGCTGACGTCTGGTGATTTTTACATTCGCCTTGATGCATTGCAGTTTTTATTTATAAATGCTGTTTTGTGTGCAGACCATTGCTACCGGTGTGGTCCAGCTGTACCTGGCTGACCCTCCAGACCGCACACGATGGAGCAAGCGGTGCTGCGGTGTGGCCTGCTTCGTCAAGGACGCCACCAAGCGATCCTTCTACATCAGAGTCTACGACATCAAGGTTTGACCTTTCTGTTCCTTTTTATATAAACAGGTTTTCCAGTGTAATGTTGGTGGGTGGGTGCTCTGATGCTGTTGCTCCTTCTTTCCTATGAAACATCTACTGTTCTTATCTCTCCTTCTTTTCTTTGTATGTTCTCTCTAGTAATCTCTAATCTTCGCTCTTATAATATGACCTGATTGTGTTGCAAATGCTGTGAAATTCTTACCAAATCTAAACTAAAACTAAAAAGTGTTGGCGGAAGGTCTACAACATCAAAGTTTGACCCCTCTCTTGGATTTCTATAATCATTTTTTCCAATAAATGTAAATGTAATGAATGCACCTATATAGTCAGGGAAAATCAGTGTTGGTTTTATTTGTCCAGTTCATGGCCCTACTAACATCTTAGGTTTTTATTCTGTTGTTTTCTCTGATAAGATGGAATTGTGTGGCCTTATTGGAGATTTTTCAACTGTTGATAAGTAATTTGTAGCATGAAGTATCCTTACTGGGTGGACATTGTGTTTGTGGTGTAGTGGTTAGGCTGTACATTGCTCAGAGCTTGTTTCAGAGTGCTATTTATTAATTTTAAAAAAATTATTATTAGTATTATTATTATTAAATATGTCTGGGAAATGAAACTGAATCATGCCCCCTTCCGTCCTCAGAAACAGCAAATGATCTGGGAACAAGAGCTGTACAATCAATTTGTCTACAAGACACCGAGAGAATACTTCCATACCTTTGAGGCTGAGGTAAGTGGCAAAGTTTGCTTTGAGAAAAATAGATTTTTATGGAAAAATGTATGCTGGAAACACCTGGACATAGATGCATTTGGAAATGTGGTTGCAACAAACTACTTTGTCTTGATTATAATGTGCAAAATATTCTCATATTAATAGGCGTGCAAGAGACGCAATGTTTCATAGCAGTGTACTTTTTCAAATGAAATAAAAAAAGTGTGAGTTTCACACCCTTTTTCTTTGGTGTACGTTTATCTTAGAGGTAGAACTTGTGAATTTAAGATCCCTCATCAATTTGACCGAGCTAAATGGGTAAATTAAAATGGTCTTGAAAACTCCTCGAAACAACTCAAATGTAGACCGTGTTGCTGGAGATTCCATCTGGTGACTACCACTTTGTAGTCTTACACAATACCAACTGAGCTAATGGAGACCCTTTCTCCGAGTGACAAGTGGATTGCAAGCTGTTGTACGAGTAGTGGGCCTGCTCAGATGACAGTTTAATTTATTCAGATAACAGTTTAATTCACTTAGGTTCGAAGTGTGGGGAGTGTCACAAGTATGGAGTTCGGGTTACACTGTGACTGTCTGGAGCAGTGCTCTACCTTTTGAATGAAAAAACCAAGTATATGCTAATCTGAAAAAACTCTAATTTTTATTTTAAAAAAATAAGATTTGATTCCAGTGAAAATAGAAAATAGTATACTCATCTATCTTAGTTTGGACCAATGTCTCTGAATACAATGGAATGCAAACATTACTGAGAGTAACAATTGAAACAGTAGTTGCCTTTTTTTTCCAGTTCATGACAAGTCTTGATTTTGTCATATACTAGGTTTTCAGTTCAAATGGCAGTGCTGGTGCTACCAGATCCACTTTCACACATGTGTCGGGTGTGGTCTTGTTTTAGGCGTCGGTTGATAACAGAAATAAAACACACACTTGATGCAGTATTGAATGATAGTGTAATTAGGCTACTAACTTTTTTTCTGCTGGGAAAAAATAGCGTCATAAGTGTAATGGTTTGGTAAAGGCTCTCCACCATTGCACGCAAAAGATGTGACTTCAGTTCCCATGAAGGGAAGTTTTTAAAAAAGTTTTTTTTAAAGGTTCTTCACCCGTCTGCTCGGATGTTTGGCCCTGGTAGGCAGATTTGAAGCAACTTAAGTCGTAAACGATCTTATTTGATGGCTGAGGAACTAACATTTACAATCGTAATTGTTATGTTTTGATCAAATTTCCAGAGCTGATCTTCTTTGTTGTACATCCTTTTGTCTTCCAACTTTCTCGCTTTGTTGAATAAAAGTGAAAGCAGGAGGCTTTTTACTTATGGGGTGAGCATTTCAAAATTTTGGAGGGGAGGGATTTCCCAATTTTAGGAGAGGTGGACTGAGGGGGGGGGGGGATAGGGGGGAGGGGTTGTTGACATTCCCATATTTTGGAGGGGAAAGGTGGACATTCCCTGGTTTTGGAGAGGAGGGGTGGATGTTCCCTAATGGGTGGGTGGAGGGTGGGGGAGGACGTGCCCATATTTGGGAGGGGAGTTGTGGACTTTTCGAGAGTTGGGAGGGGAGGGGTGGATTTTCTAAGGTTTGGGAGGAAGGGATATGCTTTTTGTAGTAATGTGTAATTTTTGTTTCGTAACAAAAAAAAAATGTACAAATCAACACAGTTTGCTTCTTCGTCTTTGCCAGAATTGTCAAGCTGGAATGAACTTTGCGAGTGAGGATGAGGCCATGAAGTTCAAGAAGGCTGTGGACCAGAAACTGCATGAAAGGCGTCTCAAGCGCCAAGGTAAGAACAGGCTGTATAATGCAGGAGTGTCAGATTCAAATTCAAATTACTTGGGGGGGGGCTGGCGGTAGAGTTAGGGTGAGCCTGGGCCACAGCAAGTATTCCACACACAATAAAAAGTATCAAGTATTTTTTAAATAGTGAGCCTGCAACTTTGATGTAAAGCTTAAAACTTGTCAACAATAATGCTTAACTTTGATGTCACACAGGGGCTGCAAAATACCACCCTGCAGGCTGCAAATAGTCCACAGGCTGCGAGTTTGAGACCCCCAATATAATGTGAATGCGAATGAACCTGATCTAAAACATACTGTACTTGAGAAGAGGAGGGGGAAGGGTTCATTCGTGAAAGCCATTTTCAAATATAAAGGGGTATCCTCTGTATATAAATGGCCTTGGGCACAGACTGAAGACATGTCTGTCTATCTGCTGTGACTTTTTTTTCTCCCTGCACTGAATGGCCGTTATTTCGGTAATGTGCTTCTTTTTTCTCAAATTTGAGCATATTAGTAATAAGATTTTGTTCTATTTCAATTGCCCGCTGTCATTTTTGCATTTTAATGTCTTCCATGTTTTCTCCCCACAGAGAGGAAGCGCCAGACCATGGCCCAGAAGCACGGTGGTGGGGGGACCAACGCATCCGGGGCTGTTCCTCAACGTAAGTCCTGGTCTTCTTTGTCTCACTACTTTATTATGTAATTGATAAATTGACTATTGACGTTGTGCTTTTTATCAGGACCAAATTGAGCTGAGTTGTTTTCAACTTCCCAGCAGATAAACAGTGATACTTGATACTTGATTTTCCTTGTCCAGAACAATCTTAGCTAAGTTTGATACAACATCCCAGCCTACAAATTGTACTTCAATTTTTTCCTCTTTTGTTTTTGGCTGTCTGTTGTGACTTTTCCCAGCACCAGATGAACGTTATGGTGTCCATGTGGCTGAGTGGATAGTGATCTCAGGCTCACAATAACGTCTGGTGTGTGTCCTTGAACAAGACATGATAACCCTCGCTCAAATACAGGGTACTGCTCAGTGGTGACCAGAAATAACATGCGGATTGTTTGTGTTTATGATATTATGTAGTACTCGTGTATTAACTATTAACACTTACAGTATGTTCGGCGACAGTCGCCCTCACAATCAGGCACACTAAATATAATTAAACGATGAATGGACGCTCTGCACTGAAGTAAATACCAAAGAAAGTCGTCACACTATATAATAGCTGAATGGTCCATAAACCTTATGGATTTTTAAAGCATGTTTTTTTGGGCAGTCAAGGTTTTTTTTCCCAATTAAAAAAATTCTATCTTGGCTTCAGCGTTTTAAACTGGTACTTAGGGTTTTTTCACCATATGAGCCTTCGTTACTGTAAGTGTTAACATGTTTGTGTATTTATTTACACCGTTGTAAAACAAATTTACCCCTGGGATTCAATAATGTGAAATTCATTTATTTATTTTTAACTGACACTCAAACTCTCCTCAGGTATGGGTCAGTCTCAGGCTCCTCCCCAGCAGACCATAACAGTGGACCTGAACAGAAACAACAACACCAGCAACAATTTGAAGAAAGACAAGGACAAGAACAAGAAGGATGGAGGAAAGAAGAAGCTTACCAAGGCCGACATCGGAACTCCCTCCAATTTCATGTATGTTAACCCTCTCTGTACGTCGTGTTTTATTATCGTATCCATACGACGTGGGGAACTCTGTGCCACCACTTTCCAAAGAGGAAATTATCTCGTTAATCCGATCCATACACTTTGCATAGACATCTGTCGAAATGATTTTTTGAGTCATACTGACAGTTTCAAAGAGATCTTCGCACTATAAGTATTCTAAAATATGAAGAATACAACCCTGAGGGTACAAAATGACCCCAGGGCGTACAGATAGGGTTAATAGCTCCTAAATTCACCCTCCCTCATCCCTCTAAGTCTAAGTCACGTGGAGCTTATTGTGTATACTAATAATACTAATGAAAGTTTGTCCGACAGTGTCTGACTTGACCAAAGCATCTATAGAAGAGAATATTTCTTAAGGGTAATGTAAAAAAGTAAGGCTTAAGATGATTTTTGGCTATTGCTACAGCCAACGAGACCAATTCCAGCCGAGAATAGTATGCCACATTGTGAGCATTCAGAAAACTCTGGCTTTAGCTTTTCTAATTCATGAAGCCTCATATGGTCGCTTTCAAGGACAAGCGGGCTAACCCAAATTTCGGGGTTTAAAAAAAATCTTGACCTACTCCAAAAGTGGGCATTGCACTACCTATAAGAGAAGTTTGGTTTCATTGGTATGCATTAGGTTGTAGAGAAGACTCTCCTTGCCTTTTAAAGAAACTAAACAAGGGGCAAAAACTTTACCCTCGATTTTTCTCAAAAAAGTATTTTTCGGGATAGCCCCCTTGTGCTTAAAAACGACCATATGATTTACTGCCCACTGTGTATACTGTTCGTGTATTTGCCTTTGGGCACTGTTTGTAACTTCTCCCAAGCAAACTGGTGTCTAATCTGCTTGTTTTGGGTTGTTTTTTTTATTCCAGTCATGTGAGCCACGTGGGATGGGATCCAGACAAGGGATTTGATGTGAGTTTTTATTTTGTTATTGTTAAAAAAAATTTTTTTAAAGTCTTGTTAAAAAAAATTCTATTCTTCTTTGACTTTCATATAGTAAATGAAATGAGGCAAAACAAGAATCCCATTTTTATTATTCCTGTAGTGAAATGTGGGAGTATGGGTGGTTGGAGAGTGCCCCAGGCAGGCCTTGCTTCATTACTCCCCACCCCCTTTTTTCTGTCTGTCTGTCTGTCTTGCTTTTCCCATCATTTTGGCTCTGTACTTATTTTACTTTTACTTTTTTTGTCCTCTTGTATCGCAAGATATCGAGAGGAGATGCAATTGTTAAACGTGGGTCAGTTGTGTTGCCTTTTGGATCGCTATATTGTTCCTTTCGAGGGTCTCATTGACTCTCTTTATGTATTTTTCTCTTGGTCTTCCTTTTATCTTGAAGCCATCAAATCTCATATTGTAGGCCAAACCATTTGGTATGTTGTCTCTCTGTGTATTTCATGCTCGTTTCAACTCCCACTTGTAGTCTGATGTCCTCCTTTCTTTGTATGGCTCTTCTGCAAAAGTAGGTAGATGGCGGATGCTCTGGTGTGGTTTACACCTTCTTTCCTATGAAACATCTATTTTCCTTATCTCCCCTTCTTCTTTTTTATGTTTGTTACTCTCTTGCAACACCTCTAATCTTGGGCTCTTGTATTACCTAATTGTGTTGCAAGTGCCATAAAACTCTTACTAAAACTTTTTAACTATAATATATCTGCAAATTGAAAGAATGTGTTGTGGGAGGGTCAACAACTCTTCTTTCTTTCCCTAGATGGACAATCTGGATCCGGACATGCACAAGTTGTTCCAGTCCGTGGGCATCAAGCCGGACGATAAGGTGGATAAGGACACCATCCACTTCATCTACGAGTTTGTGGAGCAGCACGGCGGCATTGAGGCTGTGAAGAAGGCGCTAGGACCTAATGAAGGTGGAGGTGAGAAAAAATGTCTGTGTGAACACTCGTTTTTTCACCTGCAGGTTATACAGAGGTGGCGTCCCTAATTTAGTGGATAGGCCGTCGGACGCATAACCGTGAGATTTGGGTGGGTTTGGAGGTTTGAGGCTCTGCTTCTTCTGACATTGTGTCTTTCGGAAAGGCACTTGACACAAATGTTCCCAATCTGACAATTACCTTTTCAAGACAATCACCTATACACATGACCACTCCCCACTCTACTGGGTTGGTTTTTTTCCTATGTTATAATGACTCTGTCCAAGAGGGCTATCTATCTAAGATGTCCACTTTTCTCCTTGACAGTACTTCCGCCAATGTGTCCTTTGTGTGACTATGCATACGAGACTGGATCATCACCTTTTCCACTGCACAACCTTAAATGACATCAGAGCTACACTTCTCCCTCAGAGACCTAACTTTGACAACACACTCTATCTATGGAACATTACAGCAACTGCAGCAATCTTGCACTTATCCTTACATGACATTAAACAGAAGGGCGAGAGCCCAGCTGTTGCTGGATCGATAATAACAGCAACAACAACAGCAACAGCAGCAACTCCTTGACCATGGGTGGTTGTCTTGGGCAGGTTCAACTGTATTTCCTTCTAACATATTTGCCTGTAGCAAAAATACACAGTGAACTGTTATGTTAACTCTAACTTTTAAGTGATTTCAAGAGAGCGTGACCGCTAAGATTTTATAGACCTGCATGTTTGCTGACAATCGTCTGAAATCCGACAATCGTCTGAAATCCGACAATCGCGACCCGACCCGTGAGCCGGCCGATGCTATCGCTAGGCCCACCTGTGTTAATCAATGTGCGAAGTGCGAGGCCTGGCCGACTGCCAGCCCCCCCTTTTTCCTCCCGTCGGCTTTGTCGGCACTTTCATTTTCGTGCCGACTGCCGACATCGGCGTTTCCAACATAATTGTCAGAACCTGAATAGAAATACGAATACGACAAAGTACGACGACCTAAATTATCTACTTTCAGTTTCGTGCTCGAGCGGCCATTTTGAATTTCGTTTGTTTACTGATTGTTCAGATCATGTTGATTCTTTCTAGTCCGACTCACTTGTTGTACTCTAGATCTAGATTTATAGATCATTATAGACCCCAATGGAGGATTCATATTCCAATTCTATTGTGTCAAACCTTATTATAAGTTGTTATGTCATAATAATGTTGGTAAAACGCATGTCATCAGGTGCGTGAATTATTTACTTAGAATAAAGATCTAATCTAGATTCTAGATCTAGACTCTAGACTCAGCTGAGTCCCTCTGTTTGGAATCGGATGCGGATTTCTCGTTCAAGGCCTATTCCTATTCACATGTTCTACTAGATCTAGATTTATTTAGATCACTAGATCTATATGGAGTATAATGGAGGATTCATATTCCAATTCTATTGTATTATTGTCAAACTCTTAGCAATGTAGGCCATATATTATTATTATGCTCCTTGTTTGTTAGATGGATGATGGATGCCTAGTATTGCAAATGCTCCAAAAAAGTGCCCAAAACTGTTACAGCTAATTTGCCACACATCTCGAGTGCTTCAATGAATTCTCATCTATTTCTTTGGTCGTAGTTAGCTAGGTCCTGGATAAAAATTACCTCTGAAGAATATTTCCAATGTTGACTGTGTAACCGTCTGTAGCTCTTGAATGAATAGACACAATGACCATAGCTTTTCTCTTTCTCCTCTTCAGGTGCCCCCCCTCCTCCTCCCCCTAGCAACCGGGGAGTCATGTCAATGCCCCCACCTCCCCCAGCTCGATCATCCGGACCCCCACCACCCCCATCGAGGGCAGCCATGCCTCCCCCACCTCCCCCAAGCCGTGGAGCCCCTCCACCCATGAGAGGAGCCGCCCCGCCTCCACCCCCGTCCCGCGCCCCAGGAGCTCCTCACAGAGCCCCTAGCTCCGCCCCTCCGGCCCCACCCATGTCTGCGGCTCCTCCCCCTCCCCCACCTATGGCAATGGGCTCGAGGCCGCCACCACCACCTTCCAGCGGGCCTCCCCCACCTCCTCCCCCAGCAGGAGGACCCCCACCACCTCCCCCTCCCCCCGCTGGAGGCCCCCCACCCCCACCCCCTCCTCCCCCTCCCCCTCCACCACCTACGGCGAGCCCAGCCGGAGCTGATACCTCTGGGAGAGGAGCGTTGATGGAAGCCATCAGGTAGGGAGGAGCTTAGGAGTTAACTGTGGCTCTTTTTGTTCAGAGCAAACTTCGGTTGTTGTTCGGCTGTATGTATCCCTTAGAACTACATAATAATATCCAAAATCCTGCACTCTGGCATAGTTTTGGTTCTTCGTGGAATGCACCGTTTGACTCTATAGTTGGAAACGAATGTAGGGCAAGAAGCAAGACGGTAAAAGATGAGCACACACTCGACTGTAGGGAAATCAGTGCTTTGCCCTTCATTTGCATGCCCGTGGGGTTCATCAGTACAGTGAAATTTTTATAGAGAGCAAAGAGCGGCGCTCGTGGTACTGTCCGGTCTAGGATATTATAATTCAAGTCTGTGATGTATCCTTATAGTTCAGTTGTCTTAAATTTAGGTGGCGTATATTATGATTAGTTGTAAGTGCCATGAATTCCTGATGCACAATTGTTCAAAGCATCATCTGCTTATGAACCGTCAACAAACTTACACTCAAAATGATGTCACACGAGCATAATTTGTGCTGTATTGTAATCAGAAGAAATAGGTCAGCTCTTTTTTTTTTCTTTAAATCATTTTTTAGGTCGATCTATGGTTTCATAATAAAACAATTAGAGTTGGCATAAGCTATAAAATAGAATAAAAGGAGGGGGGGAGGGTAATTTTTGCGTCTACTCTCAACTTTTAAATTGGAACAGTCCTTCTTAAAGTTTTGTTTTGCTTTTTGAAAAATTTTTAAGAGATCAATTGCTACGGTTAGAGGATACTCTTCTTCAATGTGTTTTTTGTCTCACCCTCAGAGGTGGCGCGAGTCTGAAGACGTCCTCTCACACCAGCAATGAGGCTCCTAAGTCGGCCGACTCTCGCGGTCAGCTTCTGGACGCCATCAGACATGGGGCTCAACTGAAGAAGGTGAGCTGTCTTTTGATCTTGTTTTGAAGCAATTCCCCAACATTCTCATATATATGAAACATTTCTGTTAAAAGTTAGAAACTTCTAATTAAGAAGACATTGTTGATTGTTAGTGTAAGTGATTGTGAGGAGTCTTTTACGCCTCCATCAACACAAATTGGGTCTTTTTGGAGGCAGGCTGCTTGAACCGTATGTGTCAGGGCCAATGTAAGCCGAGTGAGAAGCAGCACTCCATCAGAGAGATAATCCCACAAGATGATCGAACCCATATCTTTTGTTTGCTCCCATGAAGAGCCAAACCATCACATCGAAGATGTTGGTGAGACATTGTTTTCAGTTGTCACAATTTCTACAAAGTGTTTGTATGGTGGATTTTTCTCGTGTAAATTGATCTGATTTTGTTCATTGAATTTTAGAATGACTGAGCGTAAACTCAAGACTCAATGGAACAGAAGATTCAGTTTGATTCCTCAGAAACAAAGGCACATTGGTTAATCCGGTGTTCCTCTTCAGCCATGAGGTTTGGATTTATCTGAACTGTTTGTTTGTTTTTCTTTTGTTGCTCGCTTTTCTTTTAAATGAGAGGGGGTATTGCTAGAGTATGAAAGAGACATTTTCTTTCTTGGGTGCTAACATAACCTTTGATCATCCGTGCTGAGTTTCAGTTTGAATTTCTGTTCTTTTCTACTCTCGTATTTGCAATAGTATAATTTAATTTTGCTCTTCGTTTTATTTCGATGCCTGGACATGACTATTGACGTATTGTGTACCATACTTCATTTCATGTTTCTAGCAGTGCCACTCAATAACCCTATTTGCTGCTGTATATACAAATATAGGTTGACCCGAGCGAGAGACCCTCATCAGGGTCAAACGAAGCTAACGGGTTGGTGGGTGCTCTCGCCCGAGCTCTGGCAAATCGCCAGAAGCAAATCCATGGATCAGGTAACGCAACCGCTACCATGGATCGTACATGTCGTTTGTTTGTTTGGTGTTTGTGCTCTGAAGGCTTCTTGGACTGGGAAGAACATGCCATATCAGTCTGTGAGTGATGTCAAACCCAAATTTCCACTCTGAATCTCTAGATATTTCCACTTCTAGAAATGACGGAATAATTGCAATTTTCATTGATTTGGTTTACAATAGCATGCATACATACATAAGTACACATATAATACTTCTAGTTAAATGATACTTCTAGTTAAATGGTACAGAACATCACCCCAGTGAATAAATACAACCTTTATTAGTATTTATCTCGGTGGGGAAGTTTGGTTTGCAATGACTAGCATATATGTACATCCACCAATTAATCAGTGTTAAATAATATTAATACGTGATATTACACCAATTCACACCCATACAGACAATTGACAGGTCATTGCTCCCCCCCACCCCCCACCCCCCCCCCCCTCGCCAACCCCCTTACTCAACTTAGTTCATAAATCTTATAAGTCAGTGTGCTAATGCAATGTTGAATTGTTTGGAATCTCCTTTTGTATGTTTGGAAGCTCATGTGGCTGAGTGGTGTGTTCTTCCCCTGGATCTATTTCTGTGATGGAGCCTTGTTGTAGATTTGACACTTCTCCTCCTCTCACTTTGTAGGAATATTTTCTCGCTGTCGCTGCCACAGGTTCTGAGTTTTTCAGTTGCTTTGGTTGTTGTTGCCGGACGGATTTTCTTCTGGTTGCCTTTTTTCGTTTCTAAGAGCACTATCGGTTTATGTCTGGCTCTAGATTCCCACAGCAATTGACGCCCTTTGTTACTAAACGTCTTGTATCCGAAAAGTGAAAAACGTAGGAAAAGACTGGTTATTTGATTCACTATCTATTTTACGTTCGAAGAAAAGACTGAAACAAAGTACTATCATATCTTTGAGAGGGGCACGCTTTGTGTCCAAATATTTTAAAGCAGTAAAAGGTTAAATAAGACCCTGTCTAGGGGAAAAAGCTACAGTTCGTATATTTTATAATACAATGGCCACTGGCATCTTTGAGGTGTAGCTTTCTTTTCTTGGTATGCAATCGATATACATATTTATCTCAGTCTGTGACAAAGAGGTTGTTAAACCCATACAATTTGCAACATATCTTCTCATCATTCTAAATTGTTGTCTAAGAGTTTGACGCTTGTCGTCCATCCTAGAGCCATCCTTGGTCTCATGAGTTGGAAGTTTAACAAACATTGTTGAGTTAATGATAGGGAAACTTCATAGAGTAATGTCCTAGATTTTACTTTAGAGTCAGAGTAATGATTAACTTGGGCCCCCTATTCTTAAAAGACTTAAAAATGTATTTCGTGCATGAGGTCAAGGCGATTTGAATGTCCCCCCCCCCCCCCATCCCATGGAGAGTGGAGGTCTTGAATGTGCATGACAGATCAAGTAAGTTCTGAATGGGGGGCTCAAAGTTTACTTTTTACTCGTTCTGACTCAAAGGTTGATAAGGTAATACTGACAACTTACAAACTCCTAAAGCTCACAATGGGAGTACTTGGTGCTCGTAGAACAAATTTCTCTGTCAAATCTCCATGTTCGTCCTCATTTTGCTTTGGTTGTTGTGGCTTGTGGTAACCTCTTTGCTTCGTCCCAGCTCAATAAACTTCACACACATACACCCTTCTCCCATTAGAGATCACGTGTAGATGGTGTGCGGGAAGGAAATGTCAGTGTGTAGTCTCTGCATGCAGCCGTGTTCATCCGGATGATTCCAACCTGGTGTACCCCCATCCCTCTGTGACCTACTTGTCTGCCATATTGTCTTGGTTTTCCTACTAATTTTTGCTGTGGTCATTTTGTTTTAGCTTCCAGTTCATAGTGCAACGTCGTTGGACAATCACTCACACACGCTTCTCTAACGACTCTCTCTTTCAGATTTTAGTTACCCATGAAATAGAATACTCATGTCTCGTCAGTGAACTTGAAAGCTTGAGGTCAAGAAGAGAACTGCTGTCCGGGCCACTGTAGTATTATTATAACAGGACTCTGAATATCGCTCGTGTCTCTTGTGCTTTTTGAAAAAAAACCCCACTGCTAACTCCTCACTTGATATCCCATGATGTAATCAAGGTGGACAATCAGGAGGATAGACCAGTGTCCAGCGGCCCGGAGGAAATGGGAGGCCTGGTTGGGGCACTGGCTAAAGCTCTGGCCAGTCGGCGTCCAGCTTGTGTGGACAGCGGTGAGAGAGCCGAGTACCTGCTCCTGCTCTTTGACCTTTGACTCGTGCCGGGATGCATTTACACTTCAGTAGATAGCCATATATATAAGAGTAGGCTTGTGTAGGTTTACATTGCCGTTGGTAACCATATGTAAGAGTAGGCTTGTGTGGGTTTACACTGGCATAGGTAGCCATTTATAAAGTAGACTTGTGCGGGTTTACACTGCAGTAGATAACTTTATCATAGCTGCCACTTTCCCGCTAAATAGCGGAAACTTCGCTTCATTTAGCTTTTCCCGCTACTTTCCTCCTTCCTCCGCTGGACCACTCTCGGCCGCAAATTGCGATACTTTTTTTACACGCGGAAAACACCGAACCGGGAGAGAGACGAAAACGCAGCTTGCGCATGTCCGCCTGTTGCTTTCTACTTCCGTTCTTCTAGGGCCTAGCGCTAGTTTCACTTTGTTTATTGTGGAACAACACAGTGTCGATCGGGCATCTGGAAGTTAGCACGCTGAGTTTCATTGAAAACGGCGGAAATTCGAGAGAAATTGATGCAGAATGCGAAAATAAAGGAGCTGGAATGAGAAAGAAGTAGTGGGTGTGCGACTTGAAAAGTTCATTAGAAAATTGAACAAGCCGCTTGCTGCACTTTGAGTTTGGTGCGCTAAAGAAATCGCGGCCCGCGGCACTCTTTTACAATTGCGGTCCTGTTTGTTTACATGACGGCTATTGTGGCTGTTGAAGTGAATCTAGATCTAGATTATAATCTATCTCTAGATGTAATCTAGATTTACCCATATTTAGACATCTAGATTCTAGATCTAGATTAGAAAGCCTAGGCTATAATTTTAATTCAGGTTAGATCTACACACAACAGAGGGACTACTAAGTTAAATGCAAATGGGACCGCAATTGTACAGGGGAGCTCAGTACAGCAGCAAAGGTGTTGCCTCCTTGATCCAATACTGCGCGCGCTCTACATCGATGTGCAAGTTTAAAGTGGAAGAAATCTTTTTATAAGACACCAGCTTGCAACAAACACTGGATTTTTAGTCGCCAAGTCCAAACTGTGTCAAATTGACTCAAACTCAAATGCTTGTTAGTCTACTTAGTGCCTTTGTTGTTGTTGTTTGTTTTTTTTGGGTTTTTTCAAAGACATTTTAATTCGGTTGCCTATGGTTAACAAATATGACAGTTTTCCCTTCCAAAAACCATAGGCTAGATTTTCCAGTATATTGCCTCTGGATTTCACTGGTTTTACTCCGGCCTTCGGAGAGCGCGCGTCCACCTTCGCATGAATTTCCTCCTTTTTTTAAATTCATGAGTGGCAGCTATGCTATATATATATATAAGAGTAGGCTTGTGTGGGTTTACACTGTAGTAGATACCTATATAAGAGAAGGCTTGTGCGGGTTTACACTGCAGTAGATAGCCATATATGAGTAGGCTTGTGTGGGTTTACACTGCTATATATATTGTCCAAGTAGGCCGGGACACTTTGACTCTGCTGTAGATTGTCAGAGCAGGCCTGTGTGCTGCGTGGGTTTTCGTTTCTGTACATAGTCATAGCAGGCGTGGATGCATTTACACTGCAGTAGATTGCCATATATAAGAGTAGGCTTGTGTGGGTTTACTCTTCTGTAGATAGTCCGAGCAGGCCGGGACGCTTTTACTCTGCTGTAAATTATTAGAGCAGGCCAGCTTGGGTTTTTATTTCTGTACATAATCGTAGCTGGTGCAGATACATTTGCACTGCTGTAGATAGTCAGAACAGGCCTAGTTGGGTTTACACTTCTGTAGATAGGTATAGTCGTAATTACCCTGCCTGGGTTTACACTTCTGTTGAAAATTATCATTGCAAGCCGTCATAGGTGCATGCTACTGTAGGTAGTCATAGTTCTAGCTGGCGTACAAAGGTTTATGCTACTGTAGATAATCATAAGTTTACGCTATAATGTAGATAGTAATGGTCCTCACCAGTCTGCATGGGTCTCTGTTACTGTAGATGGTCGTAGTCTTAGTCCTTGCTGGTCTACGCGGAACTATGTTCAGTTGATAGTCATAGTTCTAGCAGGCCTGGATAGGTTACTGTACACAGTCATAGTCCTTTCAGGCCTAGGTAGGTTTACGCTGCTGCAGATGGTCATAGTCCAAGTTTGCTTGCCTGGGTGTAAACTACTGTAAATAGTCATGGTCATAATTCTAGCTAACCCATACTGGTCTCCGTTACTATAGCTAGCCATTCTCCTATCTGACATGCATGGAACCATGTGATTACATTACTGTGATTATCATGGCAAGCCTACATGAGTGTATGCCACTGTGGACGGTCAAAGTTTCTAGCAGGCCTGCTAGGATTTACACTGCTGTAGATAGTCACCACAGCAGCCTGAAGTGGGTATCCCACTCTGTGGTAGTTTATCCCAACAGACATGGTAGAAGCAGCCGGTGCTCCAAACTACCTCAATTGTGTCGATGTTGACATAAAACGTTGACAGTCACCAGTAATAAATGTTTGTGTAGAAGTGCAGAAAAAGAAGTGAAGACTTGGATAAAATTTCGACAAATTAACGGTAGACAAAAAAGTCGCTCAGCGTTTTGCCTCTAGGGTTCCTTCAAGATCGTAATATGTAGAAATAATAATGAAAAGTAATAAATGTTCATGTCTTATCATTACATGCATGTGTGTGTATGTGTGCATGATAAATATTGTATTGGACAGTAGCCCAGAATGAGGCAATGGTCATAATGCCAGTTAGCTTGCTGCAACAGGGGACTGTGGTCAGAAGAATAAAATAAAAAGGATGAGATGAGTTTCTTTTTTGGAGTGGTGTGAAGCCTTTTACTTTAACATTATAATTTTCTTTAAGTACAAACCCTTTCAATTTTAGTCAGATACAGTAAAAATTGTCTGAGACAGCCACCTATCCTCGAGGAGAAAAGTGGTTTTCTTAGACAGGTGAATGTCTTGGACTGTGTCATTATAATATAGAAAAAGCGCGCGTGGGGAAGTGGGAAGTGGTTATTCTTACAGGCGATTGTCTTAGACAGGTGGACGTTTAAGTAGGTTCGACTGCATATGAATAGCAAAGTGCCAGAAGTGCTTGTAGTTTAGATTTCATTGTGCATTTGATATGAAATGAACTCTTAGTATGCGGCGCGCTAGTTCAACTGGCTCACTGCATCACTCAGTTGTTTACAGTCATAACAAAAATCACCTTAGCAAATTCATTTGATCAATAATCAGACTGTATGCTTACAGCATGGATCATTCATTTCAACTCAGTTTGGTGTTATTTTATGAAAGTAAGCTAAATTCGGGCGCACTAATAGGTCAGTTAGTGTAGATGAAAACTTGGCTGAAAAAAACCCAGGACACGTACAAAGGAGAAATAGCTTTCCGTATACTAAAAGTTAATTAAGCCAGGCTGTGATGCTCTCAGACTGTTGGTGAAATGCATCCCCGAGTCCTTGGTCACTGACCGACGACACCCCATGCCCCCAGCCCCTGTTTGTTACTGCTGACCACTCTTGAGTGTGATTCACCCTTCCACTAACTGACCATCTACTTTTTCGTGAACCAGCAGTGTACCCTTTCACTAACCGTCAAATTACCCTTTTTCTAACTAGCAGTATATTAGACTTCCTCAAACCAGCTTATTTACCTTTCCAATCCAATAACCAGCCATTTCTCCTTTCTCTAACCAGCAATTTTCCCTTCTATTATTAACCAGCAATGTTCCCTTTCTCTAACCTTTTCTTACACAGTGTTTTTTGCTTTTCACTAACTCAGACATTGAACTACACCGACAGTTACTGTTTATCTGATTGTTTGTTTTTAGTAAAGAGAAGCACATCAATGCAATGATAGTCATTTATTGCTGAGAAAAAGTAAGAGAGACAGACAGGAATAACGAAAGAGAAGCAAATCAATACAATGATAGTCATTTATTGCTGAGAAAAAGTAAGAGAGACAGACAGGAATAACAAAAGGGAAAGAAAAGAAGCCGGACCTTCCAGTGGTGCCCTTCAACCTCCCACCCTCGGCGGATTTGTGAAGAATGTAACACAGTCTGAAGTAACTAGCATCTGTGTTATAATGCTTAGACTCTTTGCCATTAGGCATAGAAGATGAGAATTCAGTTCCTGTTTTAGGACACTTTTTCCATTGAGTTTCATCTGTCCGCTGGGAATGCTGTGTCCCACTCAACCCAAGTTGGCCCTTACAGGGAGGGACTAAGGACTAACTAGATAGTTTCTTAAATGGTATAAATTATGTGAATGGCAAAATAACGTCGTTTGCAGTCACTGGTTGTCAGCCAGAAATGTGGACACTGATAAGAATGATGGAGAACATAATAACCTCATATCTTGATATGATGTGAGTGGTTTGAGGAGACCACTTTTGAGTGCTCATTTCTTCCTTGAAGTGGTCAGTAACTGGGCCATAGTTATTCTTGTTTATATAACAACCTTCAAAGGAGTTTGACTGACTTCTGTGAAATAGAGAATTTGAAGAAAAAAAAAAAGCCAATGGATAAAATCCACACTTTTATTAATCCGTGCTTGGAAATTTGTCCTACAATGACATACCTACATTCGTATGGTACATCACATGTCGATGTAACTTAATACGCAACATCTCACCTATACAGACACTCAACACATTACACGTATTGCTGATGGTCATAGGAATGATTTGACATGCCGGATACTGGAACATGAAAAGTGTGCACACCCTACCCAATTCTATTTCACCGTCTCCTTGTGTATTTTGAGAAGGAGCAGTTCCCCTAAGTGAAATATCTTTGCTTGAACATCTTTCTTACACCGATGTAGCCAAATTTTTCCTTGCCATTGCCTTTACTTTTGCACGCTTCTCCTGTTTTTCGTCTCTAAATCTCCTGTGAAATGATGATGCTCATCCTTATAGGCCTTGTATTTGCTATGCTCTGTCTACCATGAGACACAGGTCAATACCGATGTGTTCTAATTCTTTCTTTCTCTTTCTTTCACCCTCTCTTTCTCTTGTGTCTCTTTTTACCTCTGTCTCTTTTTCTCTGTCTCTCCCTCCCTCTCTTTTCTTCTGTTCCTCCTTATATACCTCTCTTTTTCACTCCTTCTTTCACTCCTCACCCTCTTTTTCACCCTCCCCCCCCCCTCCGCCAA